CACTATGCTACCAGAGCTCCCGTACAGATTATAGCCCCCCCAAAAAATGCTGTGAGGCAGTTCTCTGTCATGTGGGGTCGCCATGAGTCAAAAGGGACTTGACGGCACCCAACAACAGATTCCATGTCATTAGAGTGAAAAGTATTGTGTGTACATGAGTGGGGTGCACAGTAAGTTTTCTCTTGGGGCTAGACCGCATTGGAAGCAGTAAGTCACCTGGAGCATACTCTGTTTCGGGAAGGCTGCCTGATTAGTGAGAACCCAAATCCTTCAGATTGGGTTGATAAGTGTTTATCAATCCTTTACTACTGTAAAAATTCTGAAGGATTCAAAGGAAACCTTAGGCATGGGGATTCTCTCATTGGTAGGTTTTTGCTAATGGATCCCCTCCCCTGTGGAAGCAGGTGTGCCCCTGAGAGAGGATTGTCAGCCAAAGTGTGCCAGTGACTAATATAGGGAAGGTTGTGAAGGTAGTCACTGAGAACAGGAATGGGTATCTCATTGTTTCATTTTCCTGATTATTAGTAAAATGCCTATTCAGGTCCAGTGACTATTTTTTCCAACGTATTTCCCAACATGTCTTTATTTATTTATTCTTTAATTTTTATTGTGATTTGGGTGAAAGTTCACAGAGTAATTTCAGTTTCCATACAGCAGTTCATACACATTTTGTTTCATGACATTGAATGCAATTGCCCACAATGTAACAGCTCTCTTCTCACTTCCTCCCTGTAGTTACTTCTTCCCTGTGTCCTTTCCTATGCATTCCTGTCCCCTGAGCTGTCTCCTTTTGCAAATAGTGCCCTTCTGTTCTCTCATGATTGATCTGTTCTAAGGAGTATATCTACCTGATGTAAATGTTCACCCTGTATGCCTCTCTGTTGTTTGGCTGGAAGCCATGGGAGCAAGTTCAATTCCAGAACTGAAGGGTTTTGCCAGCACCATTTGTTAAAGAGACTGTCTCTTCCCCATCTAAAGTGTTTTGGTTCTTTGTCAAAGATTAGCTGTGCATAGGTGGATGAATTTACTTCTGGGTTCTCAATTCTGTTCCATAGCTCTTTGTGTCTGTTGTACCAATATCAGGCTGTTTTGACTACTGTGGCTATATAGTAGGTTTTGAGATTGGAGAGTGTGAGGCCTCCTACTTTGCTGTTCTTCTTTGGTAATGTTTTGTTTATCCAGGGTCTTTTTCCTTTCCATATAAAGTTGGTGATTAGTTTTTTCACCTCTTTAAAAAATGATGGTAGAATCTGAATAGAGATTGCATTATATGTGTGAGTCACTTTAGGTAGTATT